GAAAAGAGCAGATACGGATCAAATGGTTTTCAATGCATTCCTATGGGAAATGCAGATTTGACCTGCGAACTTTTTGACTTGAAAACCGCCTTCCAATACGGATTAAGTTCTCAAGTCAAGACCCCACTGTATTTGTAAGGCCTTGTTGGATAGCCACTTTGCTTTCTTGCATTTCCCTTTCTTTTGGATGGTTTTTGTTGCTGCCTCCTGTGCAATGTTACGTGCCTCCATTCATAGTTCTTCAGGCACTCTGTCCACTAAATCTAGTTCCTTAAATCTGTTCTTCACTTACACTGTGTATTCATAAGGGATTTAGTTTAGATTATACCTGACTAGCCCAGTGGTTTTTCCTACTTCAGTTTAAGCTTGAGTTTTGCTATATGAAGCTGATGATCAGAACCACAGTCAGCTCCATATCTTGTTTTTGCTGACTATATAGAGCTTCTCAATCTTTGGCTGCAGAGAACATACTGTAATCTATCTGATTTCCGTATTGCCCATCTGGTGATGTCCATGTGTAGAGTAGTCTCTTGTGTTGTTGGAAAAGAGTGTTTGTGATGACCAGCTTGTTCTCTTGACAAAACTCTTATTAGCCTTTGCCGTGCTTGGTTTCCAAGGTAGCTGAGAAACAATGTTACTGCTTCCTTCAGGCCCCTCAGTGACTTCATGGGTGATCTGAGATTGGAACAGGTAGACATCCAGTTCATAGTTAATCATTTGCAGTCAGTTTGCTACGTAATCTTTGCAAGCTATATACCTTAACCTACACTTGAGATAAAACTTTGGAGTTTAGTAGAAAGTCTTAAGTCTGCTATGTCTGAACTGTTTGAAATTAATACTCTTAGAACTCCAGACCTGGAAGGGACCCTATGGATCATCAAGTCCAGCCCTTGTCGAGGAGGCCAAGCAACGAATCAAACTCCCAACCTCTGGCTTCAGAGCCAGAAACCTAAACTGCTGAGCTATCCAGCACTTCTTACAAACTTTTCTAGGCTGCTGTTGCAGTGTTGCTTGGGTATTTGTAAACTGAGCCAACCAATGGCCTCCAAGCTCCAAGGCTTTCTTGTCCACTGTTTTCTCTGATACGGAAAGGGGAGTACAAAATTTGGGACAGATGAAGAAAGTGGACTAAGCTTTGTTACACTTAACAGGTTCATAATAGAAAAATCAAAACTATCCTCCCACATGCACAAAAAACAAACAAACTTGTATTGGCAGACCAGGAGCTAGTTCAAAGAACAGTTAGCATTGCTTTTGATCTTTGTGAGAAAGGGGTTAGAGAGGATGATAGAAAAACAGGGAAGCAAAGAACGAGGCAAATAGAAAACTCCTGCTTGTACCACATGTGTTGACATTTTAGAGATCCAGAAGACTGTATGGAGAGAAATACGGCCAATATTAGTTAGGAGAACTTCCCTTTTCGGCTCCTCAGTACTTCAGTTGCTCTCCATAGTTGCAGTTCTCCATTTGTCATCCCAGATTTTCTAAGACTGCTGTATTGTTGTAACAGGTTGTCAAGCGGCCTGTATCAGGATAGAAATGGTTACTGTTTTCATCATACAGCTGGATTTGTGTAGTGCTTTATTGCAGGAAAGAAGGGATTCTAAAAGCCATGTCTCCATGATGTTTTAAGCCACTTACCATAGTGTTTGTTTTTGTGTTCTTTTCAGGAGCTTGAAAGTATTAATGAAGATGTGCAGTTCATGAACAACTGCTGCCAGGATATGACTAATCACTTGAAGGTATTCTAGAAGGGATGGGTGGATAGCTGGGTATTGCACATTTGATAGCTTCATACACTGAATATTGTAATTTCACACGTACAGTATTTCTGCACACACACGAACACCGTATGGTAATTTAAGAAGTGCATCTGATGGCAGCCAGAGGAATTTACCAAACAGGTTACAGGCACAGAAATTCTAATGCAGTGGAAGATTTTTCCCTGCACAGGAAGATATACCCATTAATTTCTCGGAAGGCAGATCTATATTTATATTGATGAGGTTTGTTCCATCTGTTGAAATGAATAGGTTATTCCATATGTAAAAGAGCTTTTTGTGGACATCACAATGGACATAAACCTCTGGGCTAGAGTGAATCATCCAGCTACCATGTTTCTCTGAAAATAAGACAGGGTCTTATATTAATTTTCACTCCAGAAATGCATTAGGGCTTATTTTCAAGGGATGTTTTACTTTTTTATGTACAACAATCTACATTTATTCAAATAGTCTTCTGGTTGCTGCACAGTGGTGGAGGGCGGGGTATCGCTTAACTAGGGCTTATTTTTGGGGTAGGGCTTATATTATGAGCATCCTGATTGTAATTTCTATATGCTCATGCAGTATAAAATGTTTTAAATAAATTAGCTGCTTTCTTTACTTCTTGCCAGAAAATGGGGGAAATGTAACATTCTTTGTTTCCACCAATTCGTCTGTTGTGTTACTATAGCTTGTAGTTGCATTGAAGCAAAATGCTAGAAATATACCTTAAACCCTTTATTGCGTTTTACTTTTATCACTCTGATCTGAATTCCAGGCAACCAAGGAGCAAACACAGGATTTAATAGTAAAGACAACTAAGCTTCAAGCAGAGAAGTATGTATTTACCGTTTTTGTTACATTTGTTGGCAAATGAAATGTGTTATGTTATCAACTTACACTGAATAATCAGTGGATAGCATCCTGTTGCATAAAGTTAGGTGTAAACTGGATCAGCACTGGAAATAATTAGTTGAAACCAATTGAAAGTTTCTTATTCCCTCACTCCCAAGTCTTTCAGGTTCTGAGGCTGCCTAGGGCTCCCTGGAGAAGTCTTTGGGAGTCGCAGGATATGAGGTAGCCTTTAATAGTAAAAAATGACATTAAAAAGAACAAACTGAAGGCTTTCCTCCCACCATCTTGAGGCTCCCAAAGGCTTCCTCAAGGCAAAGATAGCCCTTGAGACCCTCAGAATCTGAAAGGAGATGGGAAAAGGAAGCTTTCAGTTAGTTTAAATAAATTACTTTTGGCACTAGCTCTGGTTTACACTGGCGTAACTTGCGGAACAGGATTTTGTCCAGTATCACTTTAGGTAACTTCCATGTATTCATGTTTGATGCAGCTTTTCCTGAGATAATAGTTACCATGGATTTTGCATGCTGTGCAATAGGATGTCAGGTTGCTGTGTTTTGAAAAAAGAATGTTATTCTTTATTTTAGAATCAATTGGGGTGCCATATTTAAGCAAAAATTATCTCATGAGAGACAAATAGAATTCACTGCTTGAGCTTGATACTCAATTGACTGAATGATTAGTCTGCTGACTACATTTCTGTACCATCCAGCGATCTGAACTTTCGGATCATTTCACAAAACAGATATAAAAGCAATGAAGAATAAAATAATAATATGAATGTTTAAACAAATTTTAAAAAACAGAGAATACAACTAAAGAAAACCAAACAGCAGATGTTTGTGCAAGGATCTAGGAACCACTGCAATATTTTTAAAATTTAAGAATTAAACCTGGCTCAATAAAAAAAGGTATGAACCTGATGCCGAAAAGACAGCAATATACAGTACTCCTCAGATGAGCCTCTCTGAGATAGGTAATGAATGCATAACCGGGAGCTATAAATGACAGGCCTTCTTTCTGCTAGTCACCTGCCTTGCGTCTTTGGGTGGGAGCATATGCAAAGGGCATCAGAAGGTTGCCTTAGGGTCCAGATTGGAACATGTGGGCATGGTTACTCTGGAAGATTGCAGTCACATCTCTGTGTATGTGGGGATTTTTCATTAAAATCAGTAGGATTTACTTTTGAGTATGGAATTGTCCATCCCGTGCACATTTAATTTGATGTGTAGCATTAATGGAAGCAGCATAGGATTGTGAAACATGTTTCATTATCACTGTAGTCAGAGGCATCAGTGGAAGAGTTTAGGAGGGGGGCATAAAACATGAGAATCATTGATGTCTTGTTCTCTGTGTGCTGCTTTCAAGCCCTTCTGTGTACCTGGACATGATGTATGCAGAGGAAAAAATGCCAGAAGAGGGAAAATCAGAGAGTGACTGGAAAGATTGGCAAAAATAAAGAACAGTTAGGGTTCTGTTGGCTTTCTGATGGTACGTGGCCTCTGACAGACACCCCTCCCCCCAAATGCAGACCTCAACAAAAAAGGATTCACCACTCCATTCTACAGTTCCGTTAATAAAATATCTTCCTGTCCTTTCTCAGATGTCTTTGATTAAAAAACACACATTTGTGTTAATTATCAACAGTTTTCTCCTGTGTATGCTTCTCAGTTGTTTTTTTTAAAAAACACCACCTTCATTGTACTTTTAGATTTCTTTGTTCCAGCTGATATACAGTATATCCATTAATATTGGGCACATGTTTATTTAGGAATTGTTATAATCCAGTTGCATGGAGATGTACATACCATGATACCTTTATTAAGTTCCACCATGTTTTTTTAAAATGTGAATTGGCATTGTAATTGAATTCAGCACATAAATGAAATGCTATTTGGTATTTGTGATTCAACATTTGGATTTTACCCACTTAGTAATAACAGCAAAGTATAAGACTAGTTGAATGACATTCAAGGCAATTGTTTGCCGACTTTATTAGCCAACTGTTGGTTGCATGAATATGATTCACTGGAGCTACTTGTACATAAATTGTATATAGTCTGCCATAGCGTTTTTTTGTTTTAGAGGTGTGCAGCCTTGTGTTTCTGGACTACAATCCCCACCTACATTTTCTGTACTGCTTGAGGAATTCTGGGAGTTGTAGCTCAAAACTACAAATCTGCACATTTCCAGTTAAAAATTTTTACAGCTATTTCCAGAGTTCTGTTTCTGTGTTGTGGTAATAGGATGGAGGGAATATTCCAAGGCTCAGAAGAAAACTGAATAATTTCAGGAAAAACATATCCTTGTTTTTTCATGGTTTGTTGGTGGTAAAGGTAAAGGTTCCCCTTGACAATTTTTGTCCAGTTGTGTTCGACTCTAGGGGGCGGTGCTCATCCCCGTTTCCAAGCCATAGAGCCAGCATTTGTCCGAAGACAATCTTCCGTGGTCACATGGCCAGTGCGACTTAGACACAGAATACAGTTACCTTCCCACCGAGGTGGTCCCTATTTATCTACTCGCATTTGCATGCTTTCGAACCGCTAGATTAGTAGGAGCTGGGACAAGCGACGGGAGCTCATTCTGTCGCGTGGATTGGATCTTACGACTGCTTGGTCTTCTGACCCTGCAGCACAGGCTTCTGTGGTTTAGCCCACAGGGTAGTATCCCTTGATTAATCCCTGTTCATGTTAATCTCTCCTCATTGATGTTTCATTCATTTCCCCCATGCTCTCCCATCTTCCTGGCTTTCTGTTCTGCTTTCCTTCTGTATACTGTAACTCCATAGCTGAACTTCACTTTCATGGCTTTTTCTCTTTCTTCTTCTCCCCCTTTCAACCCATAATCTATGGCTGCATTGTGGTAGGGCTGTTCTGCTTTCCTTCTGTATACTGTAACTCCATAGCTGAACTTCACTTTCATGGCTTTTTCTCTTTCTTCTCTCTTTCTTCTTCTCCCCCTTTCAACCCCTAATCTATGGCTGCATTGTGGTAGGGATCCTCTCACCTCTTCTGTGAGGTTACTGTCCTTGGCTTATTCTCTGTCAGTGTCTTGTCTTATAGCCATTTTGTGCTGTGCGGGGGAAAAAGTGCATTGGAGGTGAGGCTGCCAGATTTGAGCATATGTCAGATCTTACATGATCCATCCTTATCTGTGTGGAATAAATCCAGACTGATTTGAATGGATCGTACTTTAGCCACTTAGCCTTTTAGCCACATAAGCCTTTGGAGTTGCAATTAATGAGAGTACTGAGCCTGTAATTAGAACAATAAGAAAAAAGATCCTTTGTTTCTGTCGGTGTCTGCCTCAAAATTCAGTATAGTTCAAATGCAGTAAAAACAGAAAATAGAAATGAAACAAAAGAATAAAATTCCATATGTGATAAATAAAAAGATTGTTAAATGACGGAAAAAGAAACTGTGCTAATGTAAAAATGCTAATATTTTGAGAAGTACTTTGGTAGTTTTGGAATGAGAATCCATTTTTTTTTAACTGGGAAACAAGCTGCAGTGGGTCTTGGGTACACATGTTTCCTCCCATCTCTATTTTAAGCCAACCAGATTTAAACATTGTGTCCTAATGACGGCTATCCTTAATTGTGTTTAATAGAAAGAAGTTAACATAGTTTAGGAAGCTGGTTTGTTTCAGCTACCATAATTCAGATGGACACTATGATACTGTACAAAGTACAAAACTGATTTACTGAAATCATACACAAAATCTTGTGACTTCCTCCTTGCTGCCATGCCGGAAGGGAGAGGAAAGCCTCTGAAACTGAGGCTCATGTCTGTAACAGTGAACCTCTTCCCTCCTCCGGCAGAGTTGTAAGGAGGAGATAAAAATCTTTTGCTTCTGATTTTAGTTTATTATCATGTCCAAATACAGATGTCATTCTGATTCCCTTGTGTATCCTAATAAATTATAGAAGCTAGTCAAATCCTTTCTTGTATTTTATACCTTTCATGTCTTCATGACTTTGTATTAAAATGTATATGTTTGCAGAAGAACTTGTTAACATGTACAGTAACTTTAAGCATCCTTAATTTACTAGCTGGTTATATTAGTATTAACTAGATTAGAGACAATTTCATGGAGTTATTTTAAGATGATGGTTGAAATTCTGTTGCATAGATTTGCATGCACAGCCATGATGATGTAATCATCATAATAAAAAGAGTGCTGATCAAAGGCGATTTCCAAGTGCATGCCACTTGAACACATAATTACTCAGTGTTTGTACCCCGAAATCCCCAAAGGAAACCTTTAATCAATGGCTACTGCTGATGACATCATCATGACTTCACACGACTGCAGAGCTGTGCAATAGGATTTCAGCTGATACATTCTGTATAAACAAGCATACAGCTTAATAGCAACTTAGATATTAAACATATTGACATTTCTAACAGTTTCTGATACTGCTTTCAAGTACTTCAAAATCCTTACATATCCTTGCTTCAGGGCCGGGTGTAACCTCTGAATCCTCCATAATGAAATACAATTGCCAAGTATTATTATAGTAGTATTGGCATTGATATTTTCTTCCAAAACAAGAGCTGTGGAAATAAGAGGTGAATGCAAGCAGAATGAGGATGTTGTATAAGTGAACTATTATGAGATGCACTGTGCAGTTTGGAATAGAGTATACATTTTATAAAATGTGTTAAATAAATTAGGGTTACTATACAATGGCAAACTAGTGTTTTTATTGCAGCCAGAGGTTAGAATTGAAAGCACAAATAGCAGATGCTTTCATAGCAGAATTCCAGCTTTCTCCAGAGCAAATGAATGTCCTTCGAAGTGCAAGAGATGGACCTGTTACAGAGGTAGGTATTTGGAATATTCACAAGAGTCACATTCTAATGTAGCAGGAACTTCCCTTTCTCTTTGTTCTGCTTTAGTTTTGTATGATGTAAATATGTTTGCTATAACAAGGCTTCCCAAAGTGGGTGCATGCTGAGGGGTGTTTCAGTACCCTGCCTTTTTAACATTATCTTGCTTGAAGCAAGTGGATAAAAGAGACTGATGGTTCTAGATGTTGGAGGGAGACAGAATCTGACGAGAGGGTGCAGATATGGTTAAAGGTTTTAGGCATTTGCAAGACAAAATTTTTTCAGTGGAATTCTGAGTTTTCTAATGTGGATTTTGTAAGCAGTTCAATACTTGTTTCATAGTAGTACTGCAAGTAGTTATTTAGGGAGTGGGTTGCATGCACCCTGTGAAAACCACATTATATTGCTCCTTGCTTCCTTCAACTTCTACTGCCATTCCTAACACTTGTGTTAAAATGATTTGCTTTGATCGAAGTATGCAAAACTAACCAGCACCAGTGAAAAGCAATGCATATTTAATGCAGTTCTGTTCAATTTAGGTGTTCTGTTCATTACTCCCAACAACACACAAAACATCACAAGGCATACCAGTTTTATCTGGAATCAGAACACTGCTAATATAACATGATGGTGAATGAATACAGCAGCAGGAGAGCTTCCTAGAGACTGAAAAAGAAAGCCACCTCCATGTCACTTTTAGGCTAGTTGAAAGATTTAAAACATGTGCAGGCCTAGATCTCTTCATTAGGCCGGATGTCAAAAGAAGCAGGATGGGTGGGAGTAGGTGATAAGAAGGCAAAAAATACCAGCTTAACCAAAGCCATAGATTTTACCTGAATGAACCTGGCCGTAGGACCATTGGGGGGGGGTCTGCAATGAATTAAGCTGTGGTGGCTCTCCCGTTTCTGAAAATATAAAACCTACCCAACCACAGAGTTATCAATGTCACTTCTTATTTTGATAGAGATCAGATGTTGAAGGCTCTTTTTGCAAGGTCTTGGTTACATCGAGAAAGAAACATCATTGTAAAACTTTATATTAATCTTGTATTTCTTTTCTTGAAGGATTTTTTCAAAGTACTGGGAAGAGTAAAGCAAATCCACAACGATGTCAAGATTCTTCTGCGCACAAACCAGCAGAGATCAGGGTGAGTTCACACAGAACAGCTACACCTCAAAGAATTGCCATGCATTGTTGGTTTATTTAACCTCTATGAAGGTATTATTATATAGAGAAGCATATTTTTAAAACTAACATGGAAGAATCAGGTTTTATAGATGCTGTTTAATTAAGTTCAGGTAAACACTTTGTTTTAAATTTGCAGCCTAGAGATTATGGAACAGATGGCCTTGCTCCAGGAGACTTCTTATGAGCAGCTTTACCGGTGGGCACAAGGTACTCTTTAGTTCATTGGAGATGCAATTTTGTCTTTTGCTTTAAAGAGATGTTTAGATATAGGCAAAAGCAGTTCTTTGTTTCTTTTTCTATATGCCAGTGTTTAGGTAACCGTCTTTGGTAATCCATTTTGCAGAAACAAATGCATCACCATTTTGCACCCCCCCCCCAATATATGTGCCTCTCTCTTTCTCATTCTTATCATAATTATTAAATCCCATCTTTCCTCCAGGGAGCTTAAAACAGGGTAGGTTGCTCTTCTCTTTCCTACTTTGTTCATACAACTGTCCTGGGGTGGGATCCAGGCTGAGGCAAACAGTCTCTCTCTCTCTCTCTGGTGGAATCTTACTATTACTGGTTCTCAATACTGACATACCTTTGGCTTTATTTTATTTTTTTCCAGGTGAATGCAGGGCCTTAACCCAGGAATCTTGTGACATTTCTCCAGTTCTAGCTAAAGCAATGGAAGCTTTGCAAGACAGGCCTGTTCTGTATAAGTACGTTTCATGTTTTTGTTACAATGCTTAAAATGGTTTTGTAGCCAAAATTAATAACATGGGGCCTTGTCCTTATGACTAGGACTATGGTTGCAATTTAATGGAACTTCCACCATTCCACATTTTTTCCTCCCTCTCTCTGTTAACTTTTAAAATAACAGTCTGCAACATAATCATGCTGTGGACACTGGTATGTTCTAATAATCACATTTATCTCTGAGAAAGAGCTTATACTTTTGTAGGTAGAACTGTCAAGTTCTGAGACTACAGTCAAAGTCAGAGGGGTCTGTGGTTTTCATGTCTATTCTTGTCCCTGCATGAGTAGCACCTCCCAGGCATACAGAATTGTCCATTACATGGCTGTGATTCATGTGTCTGTTTTCTACCCACAATACCTCTTTTTCTCCTCCATGATCCTTTACACCAGTCCCATCTGCCGCATGTCAGGAAGTTGAAGAAGAGTTAGATCAAAGGAATCAAGGATAAAGTAAAGAATATCAAAAGAGACCTGTCACAGGTTCTTCTTCCAATTATCTTAAAATGTAGAACCAGTGTGACAGAAAAATCTTCAAGATCTGTCAGGGAGTATGAAATACGAACTAAAGAGCATTAACAGGTACTAATGATACTTAGCCTTATGACAAGTGGCAGAGAGGAACCAGAAAGTATTCTGCTGATTTCCACAAACTTTTTTTTATTTGATTTGTCCGTGTTTTCCATGTTCTTAAATGACAAAGATGGAATATTTGTTGCAAAATATGGAGCACCGCAAGTTAAAGCTAATTAGAGCCCACTGATGGTGTCCAGGCTCAGAAGCCACAAATTACTTCTATCAGCCACAACAGTAAGAATCCTCTATCTGTGGGGGATCGGTTCCAAGCCCCCTCAGCGTTGAAAAACAAGTAATGATATTTTAATAGTGAACGCTATCCAAAGCATGGTCTCTGGCTACCTCTAGTGCAGCAGTCCCCAACCTTTTTGGGACCGCAGACCGGTTGGGGGGGTGCAGGCTCTGTGCGCGGGGGTCACCTGGAACACGGTGGGGGTTTCACGCTCGTGGGGGTGTGTTGCGCTCACAGGGGAGTGTCACACTCGCAGAGGGGTGTGTTGGAGCGACATGCCCCTCCGCAAGTGCGACATGCCCCCTGCGAGCATGACACGCCTTTCCGCGAGTGTGACATGCTCACCATGTGTGCAGGTGGGGTGGAGATCTGTGTCCACAGCACAGTTCCAGGAAGTGCATGGACTGGCACCGGGCCATGGACAGGGGGTTGGGGACCCCTGCTATAGTGGGTAACTATGCATATTTTGGAGTATTTTTCTTTGAATTTTTTAAATATTTTCAGAATGTGGATAAGTGAATCAGTAGATACTGATCCTGCAGATAAGGGGGTCCTACTGTATATTAAAAATGCCTCTCAGTGCACACAGAGTGCCTTTTTCTTTCCAGCCAGCACATGGCAGACTCTTTGTCTCGTACAATTAAAAAGAATGGCCAAGAGGGCATGGTTCCACCAAAGTCTGAGTGCCCTCCGTCTCTTTCTGAAAATCAAACAGTTCTCCTGCTTGGCAATTCCCAGAACAACACAGCAATCATCTGCCTTCAAAAATATGATTGACAAGGCTATGAGATACAGTGTCTCCCTTTCTCCAAGATAAACCAACTCTCGAGGTTCCTTCCTTCCCAGCAGCAGCAGCCCTCTTTGCAACCCAGTTCTTTGTTTCCCAATGAATATCTGGTGTGAAAGGAGAGTGAGAAAGAGCAGGAGTTGCAAGTGTGTCCAGGGAATATGGAAAAGGTGCCGTGAGAGACACTCAAGCACATAAAAGGGAAATGAGTCAAATCAATTTACGAAACAGACCTTCCTGTTCTGAAACAAGCAAACAAAAAAAATCTACCTACCACTGGCATGGAATGGGAGCAGCTTGTTGATTTAAAGGTATTTGGAAACCATGTTTTTAGGGTGAAGGATGGAACCTTAGGCTGCAGAACTCAGAAACAGGACTGTGGCAGGGAACTGAAGGAATGAGTGTCTGGCAAGCAATTTTGTACAGAGGGAAAGACCAGAGGGAGATTAAAAACGGGTGGGCAGCCTCAGCCCACCAGATCTGTGATATTCCTAAGAAGGGAGATGAAACCTGTTCCAGTGTGATTTAGAGTTACAGAACAGACTTTCCTCCAGGACAGAGATCGTCAAACCAGTCTGCAACCCGGTGCCGGTCTTCGGCTTGAGCCGGACCGGACCGTGGAGATAGGGGAAAGACCAGAGGGAGATTAAAAACGGGTGGGCAGCCTCAGCCCACCAGATCTGTGATATTCCTAAGAAGGGAGATGAAACCTGTTCCAGTGTGATTTAGAGTTACAGAACAGACTTTCCTCCAGGACAGAGATCGTCAAACCAGTCTGCAACCCGGTGCCGGTCTTCGGCTTGAGCCGGACCGGACCGTGGAGACAGGCCTCCTGCCCCCCCCCCGCACGCACTCCCCTCGCCACAGCTGCTTTGTGCATGTGCCAGCGCCTCCCCCACTCCTTCACACATGCGCCCGAGCTCCTGCGCATGCACGAAGGGGTGGGGGAGCGCTCACGCTGGCGGGCGTGGGCTCGCTCCCCCACCACTTCGCACATGCGCCCAAGACCGTGCGCACATGCGCGGGAGGTGCTCCACCTTCCTCAGGCTCAGCAGTCCCAAAAAGGTTGGGGACCGCTGCTCCAGGAGACTTCAGCTGGCCAGTGTCAAGGAAGCTTAGTTTTTACCGGCAACCTACTTTAGCTGGTTTTAATATAAGTCACCCTCCGTTGGCATTCGCACTTGCTCTGATCAAATGCTTTCCCCCCTCTGGCCTATTGCCAATAGTAGGCTACTCTTTAAACATCTCGCATACTTTGAAAACCTTAGTAAGGTCATCATAAGTCACAAGTAGCTTGATTTTGATTAGTAAGCTTAATTTCACTAATGGTGCTGATGGCCATTAAACTCTTGAGCCTCTTGTTCAGCTGATCCTGAAAGAACCCGAACTGCTTCACTTACAGGGGGCTTTCACATTTCTTGCTATACTTCATTTCCATGTTACAAGTGACTTTGCTTTTTCTCCGCAGCAGTTTACTAATTCCATTTTTATGTTTTGTGAGAAGAAGCACGTGGTTAATACTAGCCACAAGGTGGCAATATGAGAATTCCTCTGAATTCCTTGCTTGTAGCTGAAACTTCCTTCTTTATTACATCTGTCTCACTGAAATACATCTCACAAATTGTGTCCATGTTTTTCATGTCTTTATTACATAATCGCTTATAATAACATGAATAACATTCATTAATCTGTCCCTGATTTAGCTCCTTTCTATTGTTTCCCAGTTGATGACAACCCTCAGCCAATATATGTATGGTTTTGTTACAATCGACATTGGGAAAATTGTTTTGCTAGTAAAATTACTGGTTAGAACAGGCATCACTACAGTAATGTTACTCTTTTCATTCTGTCAGGTTGAAAATTTGGTGCTTAACATGAATAATTGTGGGTTTTTCGGGCTCTTTGGCTGTGTTCTGAAGGTTGCTCTTCCTGACGTTTCGCCAGTCTCTGTGGCCGGAATCTTCTATCCAACAAACAGCAACAGAGCATGGACAGAGTTCCTACTCCAGTCCTCTGAAGATGCCGGCCACAGAGACTGGCGAAACGTCAGGAAGAACAACCTTCAGGACACAGTCAAAGAGCCCAAAAAATCCACAACAACCATCAGATCCCAGCCGTGAAAGCCTTCAAGAATACATGAATAATTGCCTTCTTTCTTTAAAGAAAATGTGATAATTGCACAAATGCCCACATTGTCTAATTCCAAATGAGGTGTTGAATAAAATGGTTGATCTCAAGTGATATATAATGCTAGGTTTCAAGCTGTGCGGCTACAGTGTGATATTGAGCCAATAGTAATTCCTGTCCATTGAAAATATTTAAGGGAGGGGGTCAACTGGTAAATTACTCACTCAGTTTAATTTTTGATGTTACCTATTTACATTTCTGCACAACAGGATATCATTTTTGGGGGGTGCCAATATAAAATAAGTGAAATTTTCAGGAATGTATAATCCTTATTTCCACCATAGGTACACCCTTGATGAGTTTGCCACTGCCAGAAGGAGTGCTGTGGTTCGAGGCTTCATAGATGCTCTTACTAGAGGAGGCCCAGGAGGAACACCCCGGCCGATTGAAATGCACTCCCACGATCCTTGCCGTGAAAGCCTTCAAGGAACGATAAAAACCACCACGGAACGATAAAATGCATAGTTTTTTTGTTGCTAGAATAATCAATTCACTGGCCTTTTAAAAAACATGTTGCTGGTATTTTCTTTTGTAATTTTAAAAATAATTTTCTTATTGTTTGTTCTGCCTCAAACATTGTTTTAGAAAATAATTTTAAACAAATTGCATAAAATGTCTGAAGCAGTGTTTTCGGTTTTGTTTTAGGTATGTAGGAGACATGTTGGCATGGCTGCATCAAGCGACAGCTTCTGAAAAAGAGCACCTGGAAGCTCTGCTAAAACACATAACCACTGAAGGTATTCCTCAATTATAAGAACGGTATATTTGGACTCTTTGAAGAAAGAATTATGTTGTGAGAAGCAATTGCCAGTGTATTTCAGTAAATGTTTTTTCTCCAGTGTATGCAACTGGAGTACAGGGAGGTGAGGGTAAGCCCAGTGTGTGGAAAATAAAGCTTCTGGAATTTCAACAAAATCACAGCTCTTTTAGAATACTGGTATATGAGATTTTTAGTTGGTTCAAGACAGCATGGTTTTTCTAAGTAGTAAGATTTGTGGTCTGTAAAATGCTTGTGAGTAACATTCACTGTATCTTTTCGTTGAGGGGTGGAAGAAAATACGCAAGAAGTAGTTGGACACATCACAGAAGGTGTTTGCCGGCCTCTTAAGGTACAGCATTTTGGCACACATCATCCCACTTAGATTTTGTTTATCAACGAGATATATTTCCCACATAGCTGCAAAAACTATCACTGAAGAGGTCTTCATAAGCAACTATATGTAGACAACTGATATGCTCATTTATTGTTACTAATAATAATATTAGTCACATTCATCTAAATGTTTTTGTTATGTTGAATTTTCCAACGTTGCTTGGAGCAATGACAGATTGTTAAGTTTATAGGCTTTATTTTAGAAATTCTGCATAATCAGTTTTTGGGGTATCCATCTTTTTTCTCAGGTTAGAATTGAACAAGTGATAGTAGCTGAACCAGGAGCAGTCCTGCTGTACAAAATTTCTAATCTTCTCAAATTCTACCACCACACCATCAGGTAAGCATAAGCAAAATTTTAAAAGAAAGTAATTTATTTTAGATTTTGGTAACACTAATAAGAATATTTAAATTTCAGCAGTTGGCTATCATCATGTGGTAGGATGTATGAATAATATAGTCCTTCCCTAAACTACCTCTTTTGTTATAGAACAAAAATCAGTATTTTATTATTCATACTTGAATTTCATTTTTCATTTTTTTAAATTTAAATTTTTCATTTTTAAAAAATTATGGCAGAAAGCTATTTAGATGTTTTCAGATAGGTTCTCATTTAAAGTTTTCTCTCTTGGCTCCTGCCTGTATCACTGTCAATTTTTTCTTGAAGCATTGTCAGGAAGTGTGGTGGTAGTATGTGTGACTTAGCTTGCCTAGCAGCAGTCACATCATAATTAGTCCTTTTAAAAGCTGTTGTGATGATTGCCCCATGTCACTCCTGTCACTCATATTCAGGATCTCATTTGCATGAGCCTATGAGAGGAGTGGAGGGGCGGAGTCAGCGAATATAAAAAGGTTTGGCAGAAGAGATGAAAGAGAAATATAGAATTTGCAGAGAGAGAGAGAGTCAGGGAGATAGTGAGAACAGATGCTAATAGAGATAAGCTGATCAAGATAAATAGAGCAGGTGGTGATTGGTTATGTGGCAAGATATCTGGTATTTTAATTATTTTATTGTATGCACTGAATAAAGAACATCTGTGATTCTGATTAAGTTTACTACACTTCAATAAATAAGTTCTGTTGGCAGTAACCAAACAAGTGTTTGACTAAAGTCTTTTACATTGTGAATAAAGGAAATCCACTGGTGGCAGTGAGGAAAAGGGAGAATGGCATAATTGGTATCAGCTAGTGGGATGACATAGTGTGAGCTCTGTGTTTGGTGGAACCAAGCAGGGGCCACGTGGTAAACGTCACAGCTGTTTTTGCAAGATATACTGCTTTTAAATAATCCTTTGATTCTAATAATAATCATCATGTGCTGTCCGGTCAATTCTGACTGATGGTGAGTGTTTCCAAGTAGAGAATACTCAGAAGTAGCTTACCATTCCCTTCTTCTGGGGGTGCCCTGGGACTGTGCAGCTTGCCCAAAGCCACTCAGGCTGGTTCTTCTCCCAGGAGGCACAGTGGGGGGAATTGAACTCCCAACCTCTGGCTCTGCAGCCAGATACCTCTTCTAGTCCCTGCTGAATTCCAAGAGATGAGATAGCATGAGATGTTCTTTTGGATCACTTAATAGCAGAGGCAGGGAACATGTGGCTGCAACTCCTATCATCCTTCACCATGGGCTACACTGGTTAAGTCCAATGGTAAATGTAGTCCAGCAGCATCAAGGGAATCTAACAAAAACTGTCCGCACAGTAATAGGAACAATTATGTGTTCCATAAGGAAGGTGTATAGCTTGCAAAGGACAGGGATAACTTGTTCTAAATAAAATGGGCGAGAGAGATTTTACATGTCATCAAAACAGTAATGAGTGCTATAGGTGTAATGAAATCTCATTCTTTCTCTCTTACATTTTCAGCAATATTGTGGGAAACAGTGCAGCGATGCTCTTAACCACAATAGAAGAGATGCATGTGTTGAGTAAAAAGATCTTCTTCAACAGTCTGAGCCTTCATGCAAGTAAGCTTTTGGATAAGGTGGGTTTTTAAGGATTAGTCACCTCCCCTTGCAGACCTGCACGTCCTTCCGCTGCAGCGCTTATGTAGGCAGAGATCAGTGTTGGTGTTGCGTTGCAAGCAGTCCTCAGTGCAAGAGCCTGGCAGTCTGGACCGGATCACTGTGACTGCTTCTGTATTGCAAACCTACATGCTGTTGTCCTTGTTCCATCAGGAACATTACATTCCCAATTTTTAGCTGTCTTTCCTCTGCCATTTTCTGACATGATTATATTGCAGATTCCAGTTCTTTTCAAAAGTTAATTTTTTCCTAAACAAAGGAATACTAGTAATTATCAACCTGTGAAAATCTCATGGAGAAATTATAACTGTTCATTCAGTTTCAAAATGATTTAAATATATAGTGCAAGGCTCTGGATCCTTTAAAACATGGAGGTTGGCTGTCTCTTCAGCAGTTCAGCTGTGTTGACTGAACAGAGAAATAGTACAGATTTCATTGATGGGGCACTGTAGATAATAGGACAGTTCTCTTTTACGTTGGGGACAGATCACTGTGCTGTTCATGCTGCCATTATCTGAATGTTTTCTTGGTCACATGTCAGAATGATCCTTTGTGCTGAAAACAGCAGAGAATGTATTCGCGAAGGCTTTCATGGCCGGGATCTAATGGACAGTTTGCTGTCCTCTGAAGATGCCGGCCACAGAGACTGGCGAAACGTTAGGAAGAACCACCTTCAGAACACGGCCAAGAAGCCCGAAAAACCCACAACAACCATTACAGCAGAGAATCTCTAGAGCTGGCGAACATCACAAAGGGATTAGGACTGAGTCAAACCTACCAGAAAAGATTGTTGCATGGTGACAATACCTGCTTCACATACAGAAAATACTAGATTGGATCCCAGGCATCTCCAAGTAGGGCATGGAAAAACTGAAATGGATAGAGATAATTTTTGATGGGTAGATACTGACTGGATATCCTTTTGGCCACTTGAGTGTGTGTAGCATGTTTTTATATGGATGTTACATAACTTTATTTCTCAAAACCTCACTTGTCTATACCACATACTAGAGAACTACACAAGTGAAGTTTTGAGAAATAAACTGTTATGTAACATCCACTGCCTACCCACAACATATATTCACAAAGTCATAGGTGTAGAAAAGATAGTCGTGTTAATCTGTGCAGGCACTATAGATAAAAACAAAATAAAAAGAAAAGAACAAATAAAAAGATGAAAACATGGTGGCACATTAAAGACACACTGCTATATTTTAATATGAGTTTTTGTGAACAAATGCACTTCCTCAAACATAAGAGAGAGATAGACCATGGCAAATATTATCTATGGCATGAAAATACAAGGAACGTGATTTGGTTGGTAAGAAAGTCAGTGGGTATTTAACAGTTGGGCGATAACTTGTTTGATATACAGATATGTTCCATTGGAGCTTGTGCTATGAAGGATGTAAGAAGCTCTGGCATAGAATAACAATGGTAGAACAACATGAATCAAGGCCTGTATTACAGGACTCGAATCTTCTTTTTAACTTTGTAGGTTGAATTGCCTCCTGCAGATCTTGGCCCAAGCACTGCATTGAATCAAACACTTGCTCTGCTGCGTGAGGTTCTAGCTTCCCATGACTCATGTGTCATCCCTTTAGATACTCGTCAAGCTGACTTTGCACAGGTAAGTTAATGGTTAAATTTGTCAAGCCATAGTGACTTGATAGAAAGTTGGATGAGACAGCAGGAAGAAGAGTACTTCGGCAGTCACTTTCCATACTTGATTGCCCCATTTAAAAAAAAAGTGAAATAACTGCTTGATTTGGGGGGGAAATAAAGGATAGTGGAGGTGCATTATTTTCCATAGCCACATGTCAACAAGTCCGTAGCAGAGAGTAATGAATAGCCTCAGTGGGAGTCTCTTGACCTTTCCCTTGTGGAACAGCCCTGCTCACCATTTCCCTTCCCTCCATGATAGGTAGTTTCCGGCAAGAATAGTCCCTTCTGAGGTTGGCACAGAGGAGACCTTCCAGATGGGTTTAGGGCCTCTGCTGCCCGGGACCAGGCAGGCTGCATGAGACCCAGAAAACCGGTCTTAGTTCTGGCACCAATGGCTGCGCTAATTCTGGCTCATTAAAGTAGGCTTTAGACTTTCTGTCTGAAACTTCTCCTAATCAATTAGAATAGATCTGTGTAGGGGACGGTGTGGTGATTGTGTGGCTTTTAAATAAGATTGCCATGTAAAGTTTTTTTTCCTGTCATGGGGAGGTAAAGCTTGAAATGGGAAGAAAAGTTGAGGTGGAGGAAGTAACTGTCCTTCTGAGATATGGAGGGCCTGATAGAAGAATGATCACAATCCTTGTCAAGCAACTTTGCTGGTCTAGAGTAGACTTCAGTCTACATTGGCGGGGTATAAATTGAAAAAAATAAATAAAATAAATCTGGAAGAGCATGGAATAAAGGCACTTTGGGGAGGGTGCAGAGTTGTAGGGAAGTACAGAGTGCAAATGATTAAAGTCTTGTGCCACTTCAGAGGCTAAGAAAATTATTGTGCCCTGACTTCTTGTGGAATATGTTGTGTTCATTAGATGTATGGCTGCCTATTCTATTGCTAGTCTGATCCGATCTGAAGCTTGTTCAGAACATTTAACTTAAATCTGCACCCTTGTCATATGAGTCCTCTCTCTTCCGCAGAGCAGCTTTGGACATGATAGACAAACATAATCAGCTGCCTAAGCTGTTCTGCTCTGGGAGTGCCTGCAGAGTTTCTTTTTGCAGCCCCTGTTTTAAGAAACAAGCCTAACCAGCATAAACATGAGTGAACTGCCTAGGTGGCCAATAGTGCTTATTGTCACAACTGAAAATGTGCTAGAAGTGAACACAACTTTCCCCTTTCTTAGTTGGTGTTGGGGAAATTCACTGGATGGGAGGTGTACAAGACTTGGTATTATCCCTTTTATGTGTTCATTCCTCTCTCATCCCCACTTCTTCATTTTAGGTCCTTTCTTGCGTGCTGGATCCCCTGCTCCAGATGTGTACGGTGTCTGCCAGTAACTTAGGATCTGCTGACATGGCAACCTTTATGGTGAATTCCCTTCATATGATGAAGACAACACTGGCTCTGTTTGAATTCACAGATAAACGGCTAGAAATGTTACAGTATCAGGTAAGTGTCCAAAGTCAACCTCCTAGTGTTTTCTTTGCCATTAAACATTAACAGGGAATAAACATAAAGGTGTTTAAAACCTCACAGGTTTATATATAAAGTAAATACACAGATGCATACAACCACAAAAACTTCATTAATGGGGAGTTAAGATAGAAGACGTCATATGCAGTGAAGCAGGGTAATGTAAAGCTCAGCCATAGAGGACGCATGAGCTATTTTTAGAAGAATGATAGCCCATACAAATTGCCAACATTGTCTTGTCTTCGATCTACATAATAGAATCTTCATCTTTATTTTATATACTACCTCTTAACATTATGGTGAGTTGAATTGTACAATTCTAGACGTTTCCTACTGAATCATAAATGCAGTGGCATCAGCAATATATTGGACAGTTGCACTGAGTTGTTACCAGGCATCTTGGGATATCTGCAGTCCTGGCAAGTCATATGTGGATGACAGAGCCTGCCCGGCTGCACTTCCTTCAAAGTTTTTATGACTCATATTTGCTTCACTTTCCTAAGGAGATTTTTTTATATATATATATAAAGTAAACACAGAAAGGTACACAGTTTCCCCTCCTAGTCACCCATCATTAATAGTGAGTTAAGGTAAAATAATCTTTCTGTAATTATCAGCTGATCACAGATCATTATAAAGCTTGAACAAACAACACTCAGTCTGATGCCTTAAAGAAGGTCCCCAGCAGACATTTATATTGAGCACTTTCCCTAAACATGGTAGCCAACAACAAAAAGGCTCTTTTTTGATTTGGTGTCTACTTGTAGCTCATGGCAAAAATGCCCAGAAATTCCTCCAATTAGGTGTTTAATTCTAATTTTGTGGGAGGAAATGCTACTATGACACAAAGAAAATTAGTATTATTCAGAAAACTGTTGGCATTGGACTGGAAATCATAACCCAACCATTCTGTGATCTTTTCTCCCAACTAATTTTTAAGTACAAATGATTGATTTTCCCCCAACATTGAAAAGGTAGCAACCACTGTTTTCCTAAAAGTCATTGACAGATGAGCAGAAATAAATTCATAACCCTTCCTACAAAGTTGTGTCCCCCCCTCTCTTCACCCTCCTTACCAGCTGGCCCACTCTGTCGTAACCCTTCCTACAAAGTTGTGTCCCCCCCCTTCACCTTCCTTACCAGCTGGCCCACTCTGTTACATGCCTCTGGGGTCCTCCTCCTCCAGCAGTGCTCCAGTCTGGGCAGGAACTCAGGCTGCCCTCTCCTGCCTCCTCCAGCAGCTGACCACACAATGGCTGCATTATGTGGTCACCTCCTCATCTGAGTGGTTGCCTGCCAGAAGAGGCAGGGAAGGGTAGCCTGAGCACCACCAGTGAAGGAGGACCTCTGCAGCATATGATAGATTGTGAGTGGGCCAGACGGCCGGGGAGTGGGAAGAGGGAGCATGTGGCACCTGTGGGGGCGTGCAGAGGGACTTCATACAAAGGGGCATGACTTAATTTCTGCCCTCCTCTGGTCACAGACGGTGGGGCAAACATTCATAAAAGTATTGCCAGGTAGACGGTTAGTTGCTTGCAAAAATAACTGGTGTTAAGCTTGTAACACATGGTGAACTCACTTCTTTTGCATATCCAGACCTTTCTAGTTCATTTTTTTTCTTGGGTTGTGCCAGAGAATAAGGTTTGAAAGTGCTTTGTTTTCTGATGTAGCCACAATGCTTTTGTTGTATTTAACTAATTTTCTAGCAGTGTTTCTTTTAATAGCAAAGAATCAATAAAATTCTGGTAAATACTGTCTTTCTACTGTATCTTAGATTGAGGCACATCTGGATACCCTAATAAATGAACAAGCTTCCTATGTATTAACCAGAGTGGGCTTAAGTTACATATATAATGTTGTACAGCAACATAAACCAGAGCAGGTAAGCCATACATTCAGAAACAGGAATGTTTTCCTGTGTTGAACAGTAAATAAATGGATTACTGCTATTGGCAATAGAAAACAGATGGCTCTGCTTTGTATATTTGTGTATGGGATGCATGGGTTCTTTTAGTGGTGAGAGAAATAACACTAGCTGATCAAATCAATCAGATTGGGATCTGAAGAACAATTTGGGGACCTCTGATTTCTTCTTTCTTCAGTGGCAGAATTTTCGGAAGTCCCCTCCATTTCAAAAGGCGCTTGCTGTGCGTCTCAGAGGGTCATTGATATTCATGCCAAAGGTTCTAGGCTGCCTTGTTGCCATCCTTCTGACCTTAATTTTAGAATTTTGACACCACCCATTCCAAAGAGGCTTACCAAAATATCTTAAGGCATGAACATAAAATAAAATACTGCAGTGGTTGTGTTTATCAATCACTTTAGGCCAGGAATTCTAGTTTAATAAACCAAAGGGTATATAAGCAGCAAGCTTGTGCACACAGACCATTTGCTCCCACTTCATGCTTCTTTTCACAATAGTAAGTAAACACAGTCAGAAGAGAGCTTGACCTTCCACCCAAATCCTGGATTATATGTGCCCAAACAAGCCATGAACCAATAATACAACCTAAAATTGGCTTACAATTGTAGCTTTCTTGGGTTCATGTAATCATGATAGGAGATGGGTACGAACCACCGAACTGGCAGTTTGTGCCAGTTGGTTTTTTAACTGAACAAGTGTTTGGCGCTTCCCAAAGCTGCCTCTTCCAACAGGTGCCTGCTCAGAGGCAAGCTGGGGCATTGACTCTGAGAAATCTGGCTGCCGGTAACTTGAGCCCATTATCAGGGGGTCCATAGAAATATCACAATTTAGACATCAGAACTAGGAGCTAGTTTTCAACCCTGTTAATCCTATTTTGTTTTAAATTGTATCTTCTAGATTGTCAGCCTGACTTTACTGATCTGTATAAGTTGGCTTAAGGCCTTTTATTTTACTAGAAAGGGTTGTTGTTTTTCAAAAAAAGAGGTTTAAATAAGTATCCAGACTTGATTTAGAGACCTGACACCTGTAACTATAACAACCGAAACACCATTCCATGGCTATACAGAGCACAGCACAGCTTTAGAGTCTGCTAGTGTTGCCACAGCAAATGCTATAGTTTTAAAACTGATTTTTATGCATGTATTTATTAAAATTTCTGTATTTTTAGGGTCCCTTGGCAAATGTGCCCAGTATGGATTCTATGTCACTAAAAGCTGCAATGGTGAGATGTCAGCATTTCATATGTACTTGTGCTACACTCTTTAAGGAAAAACGTGTGAAATGTTTTTGGCAGTGGTGATGGTAGTTCTTATATATGTATGGCACTTTACAGTGTAAGAGGGCAGATCAGGGCTCCATGCAGCTTGCATGTCCCACAAAATATTTAGCAGGACATCATGCTGGTGTGGATTACTGAAACAACATTTTACAATTAAATTTAGTAGCAAATTCTTGGCATAGAAATTTATTTTTACTATTAATGAGCAGTGTGGTCCTAGAACATGTGAAAGAGATGCTCAAGAAACTTACAACGTGTTTTCTGTGTTTAAAAGTACTATTGTGTCACACAGAAATAGGTCTGGTATCTATGGATTGATGATTGATATTGATTTAATTTGAGCTGCAGAGCTAAGGATAGGCTTATACACAGAGACAAGAAAGAATGTGAGTAAGAAGTAAGATTGGGTTTTCCCTACAAGGGAGTCTAGATCTTATGATGCTTCATGGGGGGTGCACCTGTAAGATGGAGTAAAAAAAGTGAAGGCAGGGCCAATCTGTTCTCTGTCAAAAATGAAGCCCAAAGTCAAGTTCAGCTTTTTATATCTGTTGTGGCCTCAAAAGCCACTATGAATCTTACTCACATCACTAACTATGACTGGGTGAGAAAGAAGCACTTATTTGGGCTTCTCTTGATAATTTTTTAGGTCCAGGAGGTTTCTTGTTCTTTCAAGATTCTCTCCTCATTCTATCATTGTGCCCCTAAATTATGTTATGGAGACAATGTGGTTCTCGTTTTTGCTTTTACTTTTATACTTGTTAACTAAAATTAAATATCAGATAAATTTTGTTTATCTTTCACTGGGTGACATATATACTCTCTTAATTTCTGTTCTTCTGCTTCCATTAGGTCCAGTTTGATCGTTATTTATCAGCTCCTGATGGTCTGTTAATGCCACAAATAAATTTTCTTCTAAGCACAGCTGTTAAGTAAGCATTTTGCTTTGGGGTTTCTTATTATCATCCTATAATCCACATTACTGTAGTATTCATTGTTCTCCTCTGTCTCTGTGTGGGCAGAGAGTACCACTCGTCTCCCCCCCCATCCGTTCAGTTCTTTGGATGGCAAAGAGTATGAGAACTGTGAGGGTACCAAAAGGATTTTCTCCATGCAGAGCAGGAGGCACACGGAACATCCTTCTCTCTGCACAGAGAACTTTTTTCAGCATGGAGAAGCTGCCTTAGGAAAGTAACGAGACCAGATAAGTGTCAGTGGGAAGTGCATGAAGGGTATCGCATCTTCCAGCCTATCAGATTGGGCCAGAAATGAGGACAGTTCAGTCCCTGGGACCAAGGCAATCAGTGTTCTGCCCTGAGGCTGTCCCCACAGCATTCAAATCTGTACTGCTCTGCCAGGGGGAAGTAAGATTATTTTATGACACAAATAAAGGGATTGGAGCTTATAGCCCCAAAATACAGAGACTTGAAAAATCATGGGGGAAAGAATACCTTTGCAGTCATTCCAGTGGCAAAATGACAGCACTGCTTTCCTGCTGAAAAGATGGGAGATGGATTGAGTTTGGGAGATGCACACTAGAGGGAGCATGTGGGGCCCCCTTCCAGTGGGGATGCACAGAAGCACAGTGTTTACCCCCAGTAAGAGTGTGTTATTTTGTTTGTTTGTTTGTTTTTAATTTGCTGGGGGTAGGTGTTAGGTGGGGGCTGCAGGGGTTTTCCCTTGAGAACAGACACATGGACACAGATGCTTTGCTGATGCATATTTTGTGTTTATTGCCATCAGTTATTTCTTTACATGACTGTTTTTGTGCTTTGATATATTTTTTTAGACAGCAGATAATAAAACTATCCACAGAACTGGTCTGTAGAGCCTACAATGAAGTATATGCAGCTGTGCTGAATCCAAACAATGAATATAAAGATCCAGAAACAATATTGCACAGATCGCCTCATCAGGTTCAAGCTCTTCTCTCCTAATTCTACCATCTGAAACATTCCTTTCAATATTCTCATGGTTTAAAGTCAGAATGCAATCATTCAGGTTTGTGGTAGGCAATGATAAATAGGGGTGTGTGTATTTAAGGGGAACATGTAGCGTTGGAACCATCTACTTGGTTGGCAGAGGTCAGGTCAGTCTTTAGGTTTAAAACTATTGTGACATAAATTTGCAAGAGCTTTGTGCTGACATGGAGGTTTCTGTGGGAAATTACAGCTACATTTTTAAAAAGGATGATAAAATAAACAGGGTGCACCTAAAACACTTAATTTGTTCAGGTGACTTAGCCGGTATGGGCATTGCCTGCCATTCTTCCTTAACAGTTTGGAGGAGGAAACCCTTGACCAGTGAGGCTGAATGCCTCTCTCTCTTTTTGCCCCTGAGAGGCAACGTCTGAACTCAAGTCTCTGGAAATCTGCTTGCCAATGGCTTCCTTGGCTACTGAATCTGCCAACGCTGTGAACAAGAAACCGTCTCCTTTGGTTGTGTCCGTGTACTGTGTTCCCTTGGTTGGAGAGCCAGATTGCCACAGCAAGGAGCCATGATCAGGTGGGGTGCTAATGGGAAGGAAAGGCATCAGGGGGTATGGCAGGCTCTCTGCTGCATACATTTAGCCCTCCATTGTATAGAGGCTGGTGGTGGAGATGCAGTCAGGGCTGTAAAGATAGCTGACTAGAAATGGGCGTATTCCTATTCATATATGAATATCCCAGCACAGCTGGACTTAATGAGGGTCCGGCTCTTGGGGCCAGACCATTCACTCATGTGTCCAGTCCTTTGCTCATCCTTCCAATCACTCCCAGAGCCCTGCTCTCTTCCCACTCGGCTGGCTACTCAGCAGCCAAGCAGGGAGACTTAGTTATCTTTTAACAAAGAATGTGGGAGCTATTCCACCAGTTCCCTATTGCTCTGGCATTCTCTACCTCATCCAACAGTGCCAGCGTTAGTGAAGAAAAGGCAAGAAAGGTAGCCTGTAAGCCTGACTTTGGAAAGGTGATTTTTTTTCACCTCAGTCTTATATCCTGACATTGCTCCAACGGTACCACCCAGTAGGAAATAAGTCATGATTGTCCTTCAGAATTGATTTCAGTGGACCTTAATTTGATCTAGATCTATCAGAAATTAATTTGCAGTTGATATTTAAATTCATGGGCTGGGGATTTCCAAGTGCTTGTATATGTGATGAGTAATCAGGCCATAAATAAATAAATAAGTTTATCAATCATGAGTCAAGATACGTTTCTTTAAAGATTGTAGAAGTCATGTTATGCAACTTTCTTAGTGCTAAATACCTTTTATTGAGAAATCCCCTTCAGCATTGGTAGTAAAGATACTTTTTCAGTCATTGTTCCATGTATTATTTTGGGAGGACCTTTAAATAGGCATGAAGGGGCAAACATTGCTGCCTGAAATGCAATTAAGCTTTAATTCTGTTCATATTGACTTGTGGACAAGTGTCTTTATGCACAGTGCAATATAGCAAACATACCTAGAACCAGGCTGCAATTGTTTTATAATTAAGAGGAATCTTCATTATAAGAAATTGCAATAAACAATGTCCTTTGATTTTAACTGAAATATCACTGAAGTAGGTGGGAATCATGTGGCCTGCAGGCTGCAGGAGTCCCCAGGGACATGTTTCATGTCTATTAGGCTCTGTCTCTAATAGACTTTACCTCCCAAATGCTAGGGGAAACACTCCACCCTCTCCTTCAAAGCAGGATACAGAGCGTGCACCCACTCCCTGAAGAGAGCTCCACCGGAGGGGCTGGTGTCTCTTGCAGGGGTTTCAGCATGGTGGGAAATGACGTCTGAACCTTCCAAGGGTTCCCACCCCTCCAGTCAAGGATAGGATTCAAGTCCGAACTTCTGTTTGCTGTGAAACAAAACTAGGAACCATGGGAAGTATTTCATAATCCCCCCTCCCTGCCTAGCAAAACAATGTCTCAAAGTAAGTAAGGAGGGTCTTCAAGTCTCATACTTTCACCCTTTGAGAGTATTTCCCCTCCCCCGACTGCTCTGTGAATAGGGCAAATGTGCTGTAGAAACAGTTAAAACATGTCTAACATTCTAGCTGTGGGTGACATCCAGAAAAGCATGTTTATCCAGTACAGTGGACCCTCGACTTACAGACGGCTTGACTTACAGACTTTTCGAGTTACAGACTTCTCTGGCTGCAAAATTTAGGTTTGACTTGCAGCCGGAGAACCGACCTACAGACCAGAAGAAAACCAAAATGGAACAAAAATGGCTGGTTATGGGATTAATTGGTTTTCAATGCATTGTAGGTCAATGGAGACTCGACCTACAGGCTTTTCGTCCTGCAGCCACCGTTCCAATACGGATTAATTCCGTAAGTAGAGGGTCCACTGTACCTTTTAAGCTGCTTAGTTTTTCCTCCCTTTTTTGAAATACGTGGATCCAAATCACTGCTGGGGCAAGGAACTCCTCAGACAGCATTATCAGTCAGAGTTGTGTATCAGTCAAAATGGGGGGGGGCTTGCAGTAATTCCTCCTCCTTTGGAATGGAGAGAAATTATACAAACGTTGCATGGTGAGTAGCAAACAGAACAAGGTAGTGGCACCCAGTAGAATCATTAAGGCAGCGCATACCAAGCTTTCTTTAGCTGTCCCACACTCATTTTTTGATGCCGTTGGAGAGTAAAAGAACGCCTGGCTGTCTACATCACTGGTTATGTTCAGCAGGAAGAAATTATGGGTATGCTATTTATAGAACCCAAGCAAATAGGCATGAGGTTTAATCAGCCAAAGACAACATGAGCTGTGATTTTTCTAATGTAATCTTTGCTCACTTTCAATGGGTTGGAACCTAACATGCCCTTCCGTCAACGGAAAGGCCTTTGATCCTGCTGAGGCTCCTGCTGACAGAAAGTAGCAGGAGGCCATTTTCCTTGGTTTCCCCTCAACCCTGCAACCTCCATACCACACTTTCCACATTATTTCAGAAATTTCCACAGGAAAGAATCTGTGAAATTGCTTTCTGCCATTGTAAGGTAATATATGCCAGGAATACTTTCTCCGTATGCTTATAGAATGCATCCCACTCTTTTAGAATGATTATGCATCTTTCTAAAAAAGTGTCATTAACAGGTTAAAAAAACCTTTCTGATTTCAGCCTCTGATTTTCACAAATGAAGTCATGCAATATGAAACCCCATACAAACGTATCTCTTCACAGTATAGAACTGGATGGGATATTTTAATTTAGTTGAAAATATTTATTTAACTTATATGCCGCCCACTCTACCCAAAGGTCTCTGGGCAGTGCAACAATTAAAATACAATAAAAAGCTAAAACAATTAAAATATATACTCTAAAAATTGCCATCAGGACCCACTGTTGATATTTCAATTAAAAGCCTTTTGGAACAGGAAGGTTTTCACCTGGCACCAAAATGTCATCAGCGTCAGCGCCAGAAGAATTTCAGTCGGGAGGGCATTCCATAGTCTGGGGGCAGCTGCCAAAAAAGCCCTTACCTCCTTAAGAGATGGCTCTTTCAGGAGGGCCCTCTGGCTAGATCTTAACTGCCTGGTAGATTCATATGGAAGGAGGCAGTCCTTCAGATATCCAGGACCCAAGCCGTTTAGGGCTTTATCCGTCAAAACAAACACTTTGAATTGGGCCCAGGCAGCGATGGGTAGTCAATGTAATTTAAACAGAATCGGCTTGATATGATCCCTAGCGGCCCCACCACTCACCAGCTGTGCAACTTGATTTTGGACCAGTTGCAGTTGCCGGCCTGTCTTCAAAGGCAGCCCCACATAGAGTGCATTGCAGTAATCTATGTCAGATGTTACCAGTGTGTGTATAACTGTCATGAGACTCCGCTCGTTCAGGTAGGGCCGTAGCTGGTATAATTTCTGCAGCTGAAGGAAGGCGCCTCTGGCCACTGAGTCCACCTGGGCTCCCAGTGTTAGACGGGGGTCTAGGAGCACCCCCAAGCTGCGGACCCTGTCCTTTAGGGGGAGTGCAACCCCATTCAGGACAGGAAATGGCCCTCCAGCCTGTCCAGTGAAGCACCCAGTGGTTTCGTGTAGATGTTAAACAGCATGGGGGACAGTATTGAGCCCTGAGGAACTCCATGACAGGAATGCCATGGGGCAGAGCAACTGTCCCCCAGCACCACCTCTGGACACGGTGAGCCAGGAAGGAGCGGAACCACCATAAAGCAGTGCTCCCAACCCAGCCAGTCTATCCAGAAGGACACCATGGTCGATGTTGTCGAAAGCCGCTGAGAGGTCCAGGAGTATCAACAGGGTCACACTCCCCCTGTCTGTTCTGCCTTTCAATAGATAGGTTCTTCAAAGTGAAACGCAAAGTAAGGCAAACATATAACTTAGTTATTTTAAAACAACATAAAGCATTTTAAATAGTGTTTTGAACAACAACAAGCATTTTAATGATAAAAGATGGGTTTGCATTCACTGAGAAAAATAGTTCTTTAAGGTCTGTTTAAAAATATGGAGAGCTGACTGAATAGCTCAGTGGTTTAGATACCTGGCTGTGGAGCTATAGGTTGGGGGTTTGACTCCCTACTGTGCCTCCTTAGGAGAAGTGGAAGCCTTTATAAGTCATGGGCAAGTGGGACAGTTCCAGGGTGCCCCCCCCCCCGAAAAAGAAATTGAAACCACTTCTGTGTATTCTGTACCTGGAAAACACTGAAAAGGGTCACCATAATTCCGAATGGATTTGACAGCATGTTGTTGTTGCTATTATAAATATGGAGGGAACCATACACATGTCCCACGGCAGAACATCCCATAAGGGTGGGCCAATGTAGGAATGACTGTGTATCACAAACTCTCAAACCTAATATATTGTTGTGGTGTTTTCCCAGGTCATGAGTATTTATATACTATTTGCATAGCCCAATGAGAGTGCTGGATGGGTGGAGTCAAGAGGTATAAGAGACTCAGCAGCAGGAGGAGAAGGAGATAAGACATAGATAAGGCTTAATAGGATTTTAGAGATAGGGAGTTTGAGGGAGAGATTAAGGATTTAGTGTAGTTTTGGAGTTTGGGTGGGAGAATGGTGATTGAGGGTGCATAAAGAAGAATGTTTGTTTAAGAGTTAACAACATTGCTTGTTCTATCAACACCTATCAATAAAAAAAATTCTATTTGGTTCTTTTAAAATGACATATGGCCTGGACATTTATGATGAATAATAAGTTTTATTGATGAAATCAACTGGTGGCAGCTGAGGGGCATGTAGCGCGAGCTCCTTCGTTTGGTGAAACCATCAGGGACCATGTGGAATTGTGACAGTTGTCCCATCAGATATGTTGTTGGTCTCTGGGCCTGGACTGTATATAGGAAAGAGGCGAGCCTCCAAATGTTGAACTGACATTCCCATCACAGTTGGTAATTTTGGCTACAATTGATGGGTGTTCAGCCCCAAAACATCTGGATAGCCACAAATTGCCCTGGTATTGGAAGCAATCCAAATAGCCTCTCCCAAATCTTTTAGGGTTATAAAAGTGATGACTGTTACTTTAAATTGGGGCTATAAAGACTGCGGCGAACAGTCCAGCTGGTTCAGAATTTTTATGATCTGGTCAGTTAATCTTCATGACCAATAAGGGGCTGCATTCTGGATCTCTTCAAAACTGGATTGTTTTTGGATACCGCTCATGGAGACCATATTACGGTTGTGCACTGTGGAAGTAGCCAGGGCAAAGTTGGCTATAGGAAAGTCCACTTTTTCCAGTTAAGAGCAGAGCTGGTGAATTCAAAGCTGATAAAAGGCACTGCTGAAAAACTGCACTGCCTGCCCCTCCATGTGTAGTCTTGAGTTCAAACTGTGTACTCAGTCATTCAGAAGGAATGTAATCCATCCAACACTGCTTTTCAAATGCCACCCAAATTAGCAATTTTTGTCACCTAATCCAGTGTGTCGTTATATGCTGTCAAATTGCCCCCAACTCATGATGACCCACCCTATGAATGAGCAATCTCCAAAATGTCCTGTTCTCAACTGCTCTGCTCAGCCCTTGTAAACTTGTCTATGGCTTCCTTTAGGGAATCAGTCCATCTCATATTTGGTCTTCCTCTTTTCCTGAAGTCTTCCACCTTTCCCAACATTATTGTCTTTTCCAGAGAAGCCTGCCTTCTTATGATGCTCCCAAAGTAAAACAGCCCAGTTTCAACATTTTTGCCTCCAGACACAATTCAGGCTTGATTTGATTTAGGACCTGTTTG